CAGGAATATCTTGGAGGAATCTAGGTTCCTGATAGCTGGGGAGTCATCAAATAACACCGGGATGCTTATTACAGTTTTTTTTTTGAAATGTGAGAAATAAACTTTTATTTTATTTAACCCAATATTGGATTTTTGGTCACATGAAGATGAAGCTGATTCAAACTGATCCTTCCTTTTGCTTTGCTAATTCCCTTGTTTTGGTGGAGGACATCCTTTTATCAGTCATGGATGATCAGGAAATAAAAATCACTAGATGTATTCCAGACATAAAGGGTTTCTACAGGAAAGAAATGATCAAATCGTTACTTCACAACTGTAATCAAAATTAATTCCAAGTGCATTAAATAATTAAAATGTAAAAAGGGAAATTATAACATATAGGTAAATATTTATGTGATTTTAAACTGGAGGAAGATTTTCTAGAGATGACACTAGAAGAAACAAAAAAAATTCAGTGGATTTAAAACAAAAATAACAATTTTTATAGGACATACAACACCAAACACAAAATTAAAAAATAAATTAAAATGAATAGGAAGCCATAGTTTAAACTCGGGCTGCTGATCAAAAGTTCTTGCCTTTCACCAGGGTTTCTCAACCTTAGTACTGTTGAATTTTTGGCAGGATAATTCTTGGTTATAGGGCTCTGTCCTGTGCACTGTAGGATGTTCAGCAACATCTTTGGCTTCTACCCACTGGATACTCAGTAGTACCCTCTCTTCTAGTTGTTGATGAGCCAAAATGTCTCCAGGGGTTGACACATGTCCTGAAGGCAAACTCACCCCTGGTTGAGAATCACTGCTCTACACCTGTGGTTCTCACACTTGAGTCTGCATCAGAACCACTTGGAGGACTTGGCAAACCCAGATGGCTGAGTCTTCTCCCTAGGGTTTCTGATGTAGCAGGTCAGGGTGGGTTTGAGACTTTCAGGTGTTGCTGAAGTTGCGGGCCTGGGGACCACACTTTGAGCAGCTCTGGTACTACTTTGCTTGCAAATATACATGTCATCCCCTAAAAAAATAAAAGTAATAATAATAATATTAACATTTCCAGTACATGGAAAGGTTGGGACTACAGGCAATCAAGGTATATTTTGACAGTGGAGTTCATCAGTTTAGAAACCATGTTATCACAAAAAATTGGAAGATAGCTGTAAAATTTGTGGTTTACAATCAGATAAAGACTTAGTTTACATTTGCTCTAAACTTAGTGATTTTTCTTCAATAATATTACTATAGAGATGAACAAAATGAAAAGAAACAATCAAGAGAAATGATATCGATGATAGCAAAGAATCTTATTTAGTCTATTAGAGGCCCTGTGCATGGATTCCTGCACCAGTGGGGTCCCTCAGCCTGGCCTGCGCCCTCTCGCAATCTGGGACCCCTTGGGGGATGTTGGAGAGCCAGTTTCGGCCTGATCCCCGCAGGCCAGGCCAAGGGACCCCACTGGTGCATGGATCTGTGCACTGGGCCTCTAGTATGCATATAACATCTTTGGTTAATCTCTTCTCACCCTCACTCCTTCCCCTTTCCCTCTGAGATTCATCAGTCTGTTTCTGTTTCCATGCCTGTGGTTTCTGCTCCTGCGTTGAGCATCTGCCCCCTGGTGGTCAGTGCACATCATAGCTACTGGCCGGTTGGCAGGTCGCTTAGGCATATATATATATATATATATATATATATATTATTAGGAAGATCATTTAATTATAATTTATTAATTATTTTATAATATAGATGATATGGATGCCCACCCATCTTTAGTCAACCTTTTGCTAATTGCTTGTTAAGCTTCCTATTATAAATTTTATATACATTTCCAGGGACTATGTAAGTAAAAACTATACAACCCTCTTCACTTAGTGCCACATAATTTTAATACCTTAACTAAATAATTTTTGTTGAAACAGCAGAAAACTGCTGGAATGAATGCCGTACAGTTTCTGCAGATAGAAACAAGAATAATGAAAGAAATCATTATGGCCTGAATTTTAATGGATGGCTTACATTTAATCTTCTAGGTTTAGCAGACGTGACGGAACTCTGCAGAGGCATTTTCAGATCATCACTTTTTAGCACTGAGAAATGAAATGACCCATCAATGCACCAGTGAGCTACAAGCAAAATCAATAGTCTTGTGCTAGCAACATTGTTTTATTGTTGTCTCCTTAATCTCCTCTAGTCTTCTGCAATTGCTTTTATTATTACTGCTCATTTAATGAGACCCTGGAGTTTGGAGCCAGGTGGTGTCGATAGTTAAATCTGGAACACTCTAATGGAATTGAGTTCAAGCCAGGTTAAGAGTAATAGAATTACAAATCTTTAGTGGTCATCATCTCATAGCATACCCTTTGTGTACCTTCTATATACCAGAAATTACTGCAGGCTCGAAACAGAAAGACTTGGATTAAGGTTCAGAGAGACTAGGTGTGCTCATTAATTAATTAATTCAACAAGTATCTAATTAAGTTCCTATCTGGGTGTTGCAGAATTGTATACACAGGACAGGCATGGTGTCTGCCTCATGGAGTTTATAGTCTACTTGAAGAGAAAGATAATATCAAACAAAAAAGCAAGGTCACAACAGTGATAAGTGCTAGGGAGGAAGAAGTAGGAGCTGAAAGGCAGGAAAGATGATGTTAGGTGGGTGGTCAGAGAGGCTCTCTGAGGAGGCGCTACTTAAGCAGAGACCCAAAGGCTGGGAAGGAACAGAGTCGGGGAAAACAAGAAAAAAAGCCACTATGACTTGTTGGAAGAAATAATGTATAAAAGGCTATGGCATGGAAGTCATTCGGTGTCCCAAAGAACTTCAAGGACACCTGTATGGCTGGAACCTAGTGGGGGAAGAGGAAGGTCTGAGATGAAGCCAGAAACTACTGGAGAGCTGCATGACGTAAAGGACATTTAGACACTGAGATTATCCAGGTGAGGTGTTAATACACCTTTAATACACCTCTCTCATGTGCTGATGAGTGAGACTTACAGAAAGAACACCTTTGGGTTCAGAGCAGTAAATATGTGTGGTCCAGAGAATATGTGAAGTCAGAAGCATGATTTTGAACTTGTGCAGAGGGCAGGCAAAACAGAGGCAATATTTTAATTAATAAAGTTGCTTTAAGTAGCAGCAATAATACAAAATTTGCATCATGGCACTTTCGATAAGACACATCTGTAATGTTCAGTCTACACAGAATCATCTCCTCCTCCTCCTCCTCCTCCTCCTCCTCCTCCTCCTCCTCCTCCTCCTCCTAGTTGGCAGCAATGCCTGGCCGGCCTCTGGTGAACATCTCTGCGCTATACCTTGTGCCCTCCCCAGTGGTTTCCTTTCTGTTCTTTCTTCTTGGCCGGAGTCTCCACCTCTCCTATTGGACGCCTCTGCATCCGTCAAGGCCTAGTTCAAGAGACACGTGACCACCTGGGAACTGAGGTTAGGAGAAGTGAATGAATGGCCAATGTCCTCATCATCTCCAGGCTTCTTATAGCAATTTATGCTTCCAGTGCTGGCACTTACATTTGCGTGTTTAAGCAGGTGAGCTAGATGATTAGTTCATTTAGACATCCTCTACAGTAATTATTGTTGCCTTAAACCTAGCAGATACTAAGAATACTTATTGAATTGAATTCTTACCAGCAGTTACCATTTATTGAGCAATTAATTTGCCAAGCACTCTTTCAAGGGTTTGTGATTTAATCTTTATGTGATGCTTGATTTTATGTGTCAACTTGGCCATGGTGCCCAGATATTTGGTCAGACTTTATTCTGCATGTTTCTCTGAAGATATTTTTCAGATGAGATTAACATTTAGATCAATAGACTTTGAGTAAGTAGATTAGTCTCTACAATATGAGTAGGCCTCATCCAGTATAAGTGGAAGGCCTTACTATACAAAGACTGACCTCCCCTGAGCAGGAAGGAATTCTGCCAGCAGATGGCCTTTGGCCTTGAGCTGCAACTCTTCCCTGGGTCTCCAGCCTGCTAGCCCACTCTGCAGATTTTGGACTTGCTAGCCTCTGCCATTGTGTGAGCCGATTCCTTAAAATGTATGTGTATAACCTATAAACAAACATTCATATATAAACATAAGCATATATGAACAAAATATATATGTTATCACTCACACACACACACACACACACACACACACACACACATCCCATTGGCTCAGTTTCTCTGGAAAACCCTACCCTGACTAATCATATACCTTACATCTAACCATTTCTATCCATTTTATAGATAAGGAAGTTGAGGCTCAGAGGTGTTGGGTCCCATGACCAAGGGTCCATTCCTGACAAGTGTGGAGCCAAGAAAGTCCAGGTCTCCCTAAGCCCCAGCACAATACAGCTTCTCTGCATGAATTCTAAGAATGAGAACACGAGGACCTGCACGTCACACAAACTATATTTGCTCTAAAATGTCTCTTCTTTTTCATGGTCCACGAGCGGCCTTGGCGTTTTGCAGTGCATAAGAACCATCACTATGCAAACACCCTCCTGTCCAGGAGAAGCTCAAAAATGCCCATTGGCAGAGAAGGCTGGTCCTTGCTTGGCATACTTAAGTCCTGTAGATTAAATTATCTTCTTTGCAGCTATAAGCCCCAGAAATGCCTTGAAATAACCACACACCTTTTATAAACAGTCAACTGCAGGATTTTTAGGAACATGAGAGGGGACTAAACCGACAACAATCGGAAATGAAGTTTGATAGAAAATAAAATATACCCCCTCCCTCCAAAAATGGAATGAAAACAAAGAGAAATAAGCTGTGCATGTGGATGAAATTAAAATAGAGGAAAACAAACAGCACACACGAGTCCCTGAGCCTCTTGCTGTCTTTGCTGTGGGCTAAAGTCCCAGGTTGAGGTCGCAACTTCAAAGTGGCCTCGAACTGGCACCTTTCCACAGGAAAAAGCAGCGGTAAATATTCACCCGGGATCAATTGTTTCTGGTTAAGCTCCAGACTGCCCAGTCAGAGGGAGCAAACTGGGTCACACCCAATAAAGAAAGGGCTGCTCTCGGGAGGACGCGCTGTCCTCTGACGCATAGGGACACTCTCCGGGGCTCTGAATGAAAATTATTCTTCCCAGCACAGAGAAGATGGTGCTGAAGACGTTATTGGTCATGACTGTTCTTGGAATGAGCAACTGGCCCTGTGCAGGTAGGGAACTTAGCTCCACTCAGTCTGAGGGGGGGCGGGGGGGATTCTGGCCCGTGCATCTGGTCTCACGGTGTCCCGCGTGCTTGCGTGCCCAGGTTTCCCGGTGTATGACTACGACCTGGCCTCCCTGCGGCAGGCCCTGGGCGCCTCGGTGGCAGAAGTGAACGCTCGGTCCCTGAGCCCGTATCTGTTCCGGGCGTTCAGAAGCTCCATAAAAAGAGTAAGTGCACAGTGCCTCTCCTCCACGCCTCTTGCTACTGCTTTCTGCCTTTGTTCTTTGGTCAGTGCATTGGGTACACCTTTTTTATATCTTTTCAGGTTAAAATGAAAATAGCTAGTCATCCCTTTCAGACAATTTTTTTGGCAGAGAAAGGATTTAATTACGATTCTGCCACAGACTCCCGAGTCTCACTGGCCCCCTTGTCCGGCTCCAGACGGTCCCCACCGAGCATCCTGCCTTTGTAGTCTGTGTCCCCATGGCTCCTCTGGAAATCCTTTATTAAGAACTTCTCATTTATTAGAAAGGAGGCCTTTTCAAGTTCAGCAGTTCTGCTTCTAATATTTATTGGGAATAAATCCTGGCTTTTGAGATAAAGAAACACCCTTCCTTTGTCAGTTTAGTAGTAGTCTGTTTCCTGTTAGCTTTGGAAGTAGGGAAAGATGAATTTTCTTGGGCTTTCCATGCCTAAGTCGGTGACAGGCAAAGAAAGAGAAGCAGATATATCCTTCAAAGGAAATGAGAGTGTGGGCAGCAAGTCGCCTCCCCGTCCCTGTCCCCAGGGGATTTGATCGCCTAAAGCAGTTCTCAACCTGTGGGTCGCGACCCCTTTGGCGGTTGAACGACCCTTTCACAGGGGTTGCCTAAATACATCCTGCATATCAGATATTTACATTATGATTCATAACAGTAGCAACATTACAGTTATGAAGTAGCAACGAAAATAATTTTATGGTTGGGGGTCACCACAACATGAGGAATTGTATTAAAGGGTCGCGGCATTAGGAAGGTTGAGAACCGCTGGCCTAAAAGGTTCCTGTGCAGAGAAGGGCAGAAATACCCTCAAGTTTGTTTCGTTGAAGGTGGGGGGTGGGACAGGTTCTATGAATTACAGGCCACGTGGGAGGGAATGGAGGTGCTCTCTCTGTCTGCCTGCTTGCATCTCCCATCCTGGCTGGGTGACGCCTTCGCTCACGCTTAGCTTGTTCACTCTTGAAGCGTGAAGAGCATGTAGCTCATGGTTTCTTAGCCCCAGTCTCCAAATACACCATGGTCATCTTGACCCTTGTTCAGAAAATGGCCCTGTGTCCCATTTCCAGCGTCCCAGGAAATAAATCGAATTGTCCCAGTTGTCTTTTCTAATTGGGCCATAGGTCATGAAGACGATGGGCTATGCTTTAGTTAGGTGTGCAGCCCGGAACCAGCTTTCATGGCCTGGATGTCGTGGTGGGGGGTCAGTGTGAGACGTATGCCATAGGCTGACACACCAAAGGGTGAATTCGCTCTGAAGAGACCTGGGCCAGAATAAAGAACCTCATTCCTTGCCCACCGGCTCTGTTGGCTTCGGTGTGGGGATATCCATGTCCTCTTGCCAACCTGCAGATGAACAGTTTAAATTTGCTTGTAATTTAGCTGTGCTCATGACAGAAGAAAGCTAGGACTTAATTAAATGAATAAGAGCATGATAGGTCCTGAGAGAGCCAATTACGGACACATTGGAAGTCTGGCCTGGGGAGATGAGCTGGTGTGAGGCAGAACCACCCAGCGCACATTCCGTCATGTGACCATCTTGGTACAGACCTGAGCCCAGCACACATGCACCTGCAAATCAGCACACTTAATGTACGCGTGTGTGTGATCCTTAATGAGTTCATAGTTAGGTGATGTCCCACCGCATCCTCTATGCTGCTGTTCTACCTGGAAGCTGCCTATTCTTGCCTTTCTCTGGCCTTTTCTGATTATTCAAATGCATTGGTCAGGCGACACCACGCCCCTTCTACGAAAACGTCACATGTCCGTGAATGACTGCCAAAGGACCCCGAGTGTCGAAATTTGGAGCTACAACTAAATTTTAGTGAGTGGGCAAATTTGCAAGTATGGAACCTGTGAATAAGGAGGATCAATTATACACGTAAGTCATTAGACACAATGCTTCCCTTGGAGTTAGGACCCCGAAGGCTGGTTCCGTCTTCTCCCTGAAGTACCGTGTGCCTTTGGTAAAGCACCTTTCCTCTGGGCCTGAGCATGAGGGCATGAGACCAGGTGTGGCTGAGATGACTGGTAGCTGTTTTTACTTGTGGAAGATTCCTTAACGTTTTCTCCCTGTGCAGGGAGAGACCGTGCTAACCATGTGAATTTCAGAAACTCATCAGTGGCAAACTGATGCCTTGTTTTTGTGAAGGTCAATATTCTGGGTGAGAACAGCTCGAGCTTGGATATAGAATTCAGCGTGCGGGAGACTACATGCAGGAGGGATTCTGGGGCAGACCCCGCCACCTGTGACTTCCAAAGTGGCTACTACGTGGTAAGTGTGGTGGGAAGGGCCACCCTCCTCCCGCCCGCCCCCCCCCCCAACCCCACAAACCAACACGAGGAAGTGCCTCATCTTCTTCCATGATGTCACAGTAAGAGCTTGGCTGTTGCCTGTTGGCTGGTCACGCTGGGAGGCACCAAGTGTGCCCATGCTGTATTCCCCGGGTGGGGGCAGTGTTGCCCAGTGGTTGAGGACTTGAGCTCTGGGTTACATGGTCCTGAATGATCCTGGCAAATTATTTAGCCCCTGTTGCCTCAGTTTCCTGATCTTTAAAATGGGGATAGTGATGATTCCAAGCAAAGCGAATACAACAAGGCCAACACCAAACAAAAATCCCAGAGACATTTCAAATTCTACTTAAAATAATTTTAAAACATTACGTGTGAGAGCCACATTATTTTTCGGTTGACTGTTGTGTAATATCTGTCTCCCCCACTAGCTTGGGCTCCATTGGGAATAAATGTCAGGAATAAACATAGGACCACGCATGTTTGGTTTGTATCCCCAGTGACCAGAACACGGTCCACACTTGGTTCGCACCCATGGGCTGCACCATCAAACCAATGTTTGCTTTCCAAGACGTTTGCGATGCGATGTATGTGTTCTCGGGCTTTTGTTACACTATCAGTTTATGTCGGGGTTGCTTTATAATGATGTAAATTTTGAAAAGGAATCCTTTGTTTTGAGACTTTTCACCAGGACTATTTTACAAAGGACCCAAAACCCCAAGTGTCAGAGCAAATGAAATCTGGAGCCAAAGGAGAACCTCGGGGTTCTTCCCACTTCTTTTTGTTCAAGTGGGAAAGGCTTCAGGGCAGCCCCTCAGTGCTCATGCGGGAACGTCTGCTTTCCTGGGACTCATAATGTATCAAATGCCTAAGAGATATTTAAATATTTCATTTTTCTCCTTAGGTATTGAGAAACTTTCATTTTGGAAAAACGAAATGCCTCTGTGAATTTTTCCTTTCTGTCTGCATCATTTAGTCCAGCCCTACAGTCCTCCTGATTTCTGGGACAGGTCTACCCCTCTGTGAGCTGCTGGAGGTACAGCTCATTGCTTTGTGTTTTCCAGCCAGCAGCCTCTTGCAGAAGCACCGTGCAGATGTCTGCTGAGCAGGTGCAGGACGTGTGGGTTCATTGCCGCTGGTCCTCCAGCTCCGAGTCCGACAGCAGCGAAGAGGTATGACCAGGCCTTGGTGTCCATCAGGACAGCTCCTCGTAGGGTCTGTGTGAGTCTGTGACAGATTGCTGTAATAGTGTAGTCAGAGCATCACCCAGGTATGGGCAAGCAGAGCTCTGCTTGCTCAGCTGGATTCTTTCTTTTATACCTACAACCTCATTTTCAAATCCTCTTACTTCCTCCAGCCTATCCTCTGTCTGTCTGCATCTATCTGTCTATCTATCATCTATCTATCTATCTATCTATCTATCTATCTATCTATCTATCTATCTATCATCTATCTATCATCTACTTATCCATCTATATCTATGTCTATCTCTTTGTTTCCCCAAGATTTGTGAAATTAGCAAATCTTCAAAGTTTTAGACTTAAGTATCCACTCACTGGTCCCGTGGTTTAGTGGAACAAAGAGGGACATTTTTGCTGGACCAGAGGTCAAAATTATTTGCCAGCTCTGCAATCTAGGTCACAATACCTAACCTTCATGATCTGTAGCTTCTTCATCTTAGTAAAGGAATAAATGCCAGGAATAAAGACCACCTGATAGGTTGTTGACCGAACCAGGGAAGGATGGGCAAGGAAGATCAGGTCTCGCATCTGGCACATGACTGGTGTGTAGTGAATGGCAGGACACACTCTTTCCTTCAATCACATTGAAATTGATTTGCATGTTGTTGATTTGCATGTTGTTGAAGTACTTGTTGAATGAATTTTTAAAACTGAGGAAGAAATGGTCAGGAATATGATATGACTGTAACTAGGGATAAAAACATAGCTGTTATATTATTTGTTTATTCATAATGGGATAATATTCTTGACAGGTATTTAAAAAACATTTCTACCAGTGTACAGCTGGTATTTTTATTTATCTATTCATATTTTATTCAATTTTTCAAGATTTAAGTTTGTAGTGAAAATTACATTAAAAGACTATACAATTTCAACTTCAAAAATTATACATAAAAAGTAATATTCCCATATTATTAACATACCCATGCTTTAAATATTTTGTTTGGAAGTCCATTTTATTTATATATTTATATTTAGTTTTTAAAATTTGTTTTTCAATTGCAGTTGACATATACTGTATTAGTTCCAGGTGTACAACATAGTAACTAAACATTTATATCACTTAGAAAGTGATCACTGGATAAGTCTAGTATTATGGAAGTCCATTTTAGGATTAGGAAATAATGAAAGCGGTGATGAGAACTCCTGGTACAGGGGGTGGTGTTACTGGCGCAGGCAGAACTTTGCCCAGGTTATTAGGACCTTTTCCACACAGTGTTTAGTTGAGCATAACCTTGTGGCTTGATCTTGTTCACACTGGCTACTTTTAAGGATCAATACCCAGGTGATTTCTGGGGCAATTGCTCCAGGGTCCTATTCCCTTGGTGCTATGACAATACCAAGGGTCTCCTTTTCTAGACTTCATTAAAGTATCTAGAAAGTCAGATATGTTTCACAGTTCACACATTTACACACTCACTGGTCAGCTAGCCCAGAAGTGACAGGGGCCACGAATATCATTTCACCAGCATTTTGTTGGAATTGATTTTGTGGTTTCTATGGAGAAAGCTAGGGAGATAGTGAGGAGCAAGACAAGCATAGTTCTGGCCCTTGTGGAGTGTATAGATGAGTCCAGGTGATGTCTGTTAAGCAGAGGTGACCAGGCAAGTATTTGGGAGCACGTAAGAGAGGACAGATTAGTGTGTCCCAGGCAGAAAGAGCTTCCCTGGGATCTGATATTCAACTTAAGAACTGGAGGGTTGACATCAGGACAGAAGGGACAGGAGGTGGAGGGAAGGGAGAAAAGAAATTCCAAGTGAAAGGAGATCATGATGGAGTTCCCTGAAATAGGAGAGAAGCTGGTGGATTAAAATGGAAAGAAATTCATGACTGGAATGAGCAAAATGCAGAGAGAGAGGTGTGGGAGTAGGACTGGACAAGACCACAGCCAGTTCAAGATAAGCCTCATCCATCATGTTGAGCATCCCTGGCTGATCAGAATGGCAATGAGGCTATTGAGGGGTTGTAAGTAGGGCAGTGACAGAATAGATGAAGAGTAGATTGGAACTAGCTAAGAGTAGATGGGGGCTAGGCAGGACAGGTGAACGAGAATGCTGACTGGGGTTGGGAGTTAGTAGTGAATGTTGAGAGAAATGGATTCTAGTTCATTCTATGATCTTTGACACAATTGAAATTAATTTAATAAATGGTCCTCTAAATTAACCCCTTCCTCTTCCGTGTCTGACTTGGGAAGTTGATTCTGATTGTTTGGGCAACCCACAAATCTTCTTTTTTTAAAAAAAAAATTTTTTTAATTGATTTCAGAGAGAGTTAGGGAAAGGGAGAAAGAGATAGAAACATCAATGATGAGAATCATTGATTGGTGGCCTCCTGCACTCCCCCTACCGGGGATCAAGCCCACAACCCAGGCATATGCCCTGACCGGAAATTGAACCATGACCTTCTGGTTCATAGGTCGATGCTCAACCACTGAGCCATATGGACTTGGCCCCACAAATCTTTCTAATTGCAGAGTGAAGACACTCACTGTTCTCCCAATCCCACATTTTGTAAGAAGATGCTGACATTAAGTTAAGTTAGCTCCTGAAACAAACATGATTTTTACATAAACTCTCAGGTTGCTTTTCCTGGAAGATTAGGAGATTGAGATTTTAAGAATTCTGAGCCAATTAAAAAAATTTCTTTAAAAAAGAGAGAATTCCTTAAATTAAAAAAATGCTACAATTCAAAAGAAAGAGAAGAAAGCAGATGGAGTTTAAAGTAATTCCTGGAAACTCTGAAATAGATTTCTTATACGACACAGAAAAAAATTAGAAAACAATTGTTAACCGTTTTCAGTGAAATAAATGGTGATACTACAAACATGAAAGATGATAGACTAGATGAATTTAGACATGGAACAAATAAACCATTGTTGGAAATAGGAAATAGAAAAAATAAAAGACACTCGAGTCATGAAAATAAAGACTACTTGACAAACATATAGAATACAAAAGACTTTCCAGGAAAAGGAATATAATGTAAAGAAAGATTTAACCATGGAGAATAAGACTGAAAAATTCAAATTATTATAAATAAGGATTTAGATTAAATGGAAAATATCTGGTAAGAAACTGCCTTGAATATAAGAAATTTGGATTTTCCACTACATAATTTTTGAAAGCATAAAAGCTATAAAGACATTTGAGGAAATAAATGTCTAAATTTGCTAAAAGTCTCCTCTCCTTAATCAAATAGATATTTGAATCGTAGGTAGTCTGTGTTATTTTTTCATTTTAACGGAGAAGCATGTAGGTCTCTACATGGTGCATAGAACTCAGACAATCACGTGATGGTGCAGTTGTCAAGAGTGCAATGTTACACCTGTAAGTGAGTGATTGAACTTGACTTTAGACAAATCCTTCTCATTTGGAGTGGAAGAGAAGAGGTCTGGCTAAGGTATCAGCCAAAGGAGAAAATAGTCCCAAAGGGAGAAACTGAGGAAGAATAACTGAACAGAAATTCTGAGCTCAGGAGAGGAGAGGTGACAGGCGCTTCATTTATTTACTGTCTTTCATTTCAAGAGATAGAAACTCAACTAGAGGTAGCCTGAGCTGAAATAAGACAATTTCATGACCACATCCCCAGAAAGGAAAGGGAGGAGTTGGCCTCAGGAGCAACTCAATTTAGGCACCTTCAATGCAATGTGTGCCTCGTTCATTTTCTCCTTCTCCCTTTCCCTTCCTCTCCCACGCCTCTCCTCTCCCCTCCCTTTCTCATTGCCATGGCCTTTCTCCATGTAGTAGGAAGCAAGGCTACCAGCTATTCCACGTTTAGATCCTTTAAACTTAGAGGGGAAAAAAGTATTTCTCTTAAACTCCAGTGGGAGATACCTTTTGGCATTAAATTTCAATTGGCCTGGCTTAGTCGTGTGTCTCTATTTTTTAAAAATACCACCTTTATTGAGATATAATTTACATACTGAATAGTTCCCCCTTTCAGTGTGTCTATGTCAGTGGTTTTAGTATATTCACAAATTGTACAATCATCACCACTCTCTAAACCCAGAACATATCCACTGTCTCAGAAAGAAACCTCTTAGCCATTAGCAAGTCATTCTGATCCTCATTCCTTCCTAGAAACAGCCACTCATCTCCCTCCTGTGGCTATAGATTTGCCTATGCTGGACATTTCACATGCGTGAAATCATACAATATGTGTTCTTTTATGACTGGCTTCTTTCACTTAGACTCGTGTTTTGGAGGTTCATACCTGTTGTAGTATGTGCAAATACTTAATTCCTTAAATTGTTGAATAACAGTTCACTTTTTGGATATTACAAATAATGATACTATGAGCTTTCATGTGCAGGTTTTATTTAACTGAACGTATTGGGATTACCTTGGTTAATAAAGTTATATAGGTGTAAGGTATATAATTCTATAATACATCATCTTTATATTGTATTGTGTGTTTACCACCCCAAGGCATGTCTCTTTCCATCACCACCTATACACATCTATTTTTAAAATATGTTTTATTGAATTTTTTAGAAAGGGAGAGGAGAGAAACATCAATCAGTTGCCTCCCACATGCACCTTGACCAGGGATGAAGCCCACAACCTGGGCTTGTGCCCTGACCAGGAATTGAACCAGCAAACCTCTGGTACACAGTATGACGGTCAACCTACTGAGCCACATGGTAGGGCTTTCCACATGTATTTTTGTATAGTCTTTCAGTGGCTTCATGAAAGCTACTTATGTGCACCTAACTGCACACATATGGAATCTTCATAGAGAGAAACCTCTAAAAATTGACCTAAACACAGTCTATTTGCAAGTCCATGAAACAAGCTTCTATCTTTCTGGTCCATAACATTTGGGAGTAATTCTGAGTTCGATGGGAAGCATTTTAGTCAATTTTAGTTTCATGTAAATTGCACTTCCCCACATACTTTCTTAGATATACATGCTTGGTACCCTATAAAGTTATTTGAAATAATATATTGTCTTATTTAATTAATCAGAGTTCTCCAGATAAGAGTTGCATTTTTTACAATGTCTTTCCTTTTTCTCTCTTTCATGTGCTGATACATACTGATGTTTACATTTATGTAGATGGTTTTTGGGGGTATATTGGGACCCTCTAGATGGAGAAACAGTTATCTAGTTGGTAAGTTGAGATCTGTTCTTTTTCTAAATGTTTTTTTTCTTGAAACAACTTCATATTGAAGCTTTCTGTTAGTGAGTCATTTAAAACTAGACATATCTATGCATAACATTTGAAGAACTACAGTCATTACAGAAAATAAACATTTTCTTTTATTTTTGTTTCTTTCTTCACACTAGGCAATAGCAATACAACCGTTCATTTAAGCGTCCCTCTGTGTTTATACAGAGGTTTTCCATGCATGATTTCATCTGACGGCCCCAACACTTCTGTCCAGTAGTCAGGGTAGATGTTGGTGTTCCCCTTGAAAGGGTCTGTAAACTTGAACAAGCTTGCTCAACCCTCCTGGATGCATGACCTAAGCTATGGGGCCCACATACGCAATAAGGTGTACCTGGGAGGATCTGGACTAAAGTTCATATAACTGGCTGGGGCTGAATTGGGTAATCCTCCAGCCACGTGACTGGGATGGACCATCATTTCTGACTCTTGGTTGGGGGAGGGGGGCTCTCCTTTCTTTCCTTCTTGTGTGGCCTCTCATTTGAAGTAAGATGGGTTAGCGTTCTGTGGCTTAGGAGCCATTTTTATGTTCCTGAGGCTTTTTCCTATTGGTGCTGATGGTGGCCAAACTCTTTGGTGATCTCCCACTTCCTCCTTGTTCAAGAGGCACATCGGGGGCATCAATAATAAAATCACACAATGTTCCAGAAGTGGCAAGGCCTTGATACTATTATTGTGTTCCAGATCTCATTCCTGACAAACCCAGACGTGAACAGTTTTATGAACGGTCACATGGTAAGTGGTCCTGTCTTCCCGAGATCAGTAGACCTCAGTCTTATCAAGCAGACTCTGTGGTAGCCATTTCATAGGAGATAAACCCATGAAATACAAACTATTTTAAGTGAAAATGAAAAGATATTAGAGCACTGCAGAAACATGCTTTGCAAATCATTCAAAAGGCAAACTTGAGGCATTAGAAACTCACTTAAATGTTATCAGGAATCGGAATATCAAATCTAGCTCAGGAGATCAGTATTGACCTTTTTCCTGTCCCACATTGGGCATTTTCTGAATAACCCAAATTATTTTGATCTTCTCTTTGCCCTCCACTCTCAACTATATTTTGTGTTAAGCAGACATTAATGGTATTTATTTTCTTCTGATTATGGATCAGTTTTCTTATTTAATCTTTGTGATAACTCTTTAAACCAGGTTATTGCCTGCTTATATAGAAGAAATGAGTAATAACTCAAGGTGTTAATTGTATGCACAAATACTTACTCTGTACTAATTGCTAGACATGATTTTCTCTTTCAACCCTCACACCCATCCTGTGAGGCAGCACCATGTTCCTTCCCATTTTACAGATGAGCAAACTGAGTTTCTGTAACTTGCCCAAGGCTACCCTCCTGGATGCATGACCTAAGTTATGGGACCCAAGTATGCAATAATGTGTAGCTGGGAAGATCTGGACTAATGCTCATCTGACTGACTGGGGCTGAATTGGGTAATCCTCCAGCCATGTGACTAGGACTGACCAAAAGGTAGTGAGTGGCAGACAGGACTTTGATACAGATCTGCCACTCTAAAGCCTGTTTTTTTCCCTTCATGCTGTTTTCAAAAGTAATTGTGAAATTTACTCTATGTCCAGAGTTCTCCATCACAATGAATAAAACAGATATAAATATTTCATTGAGTTCAATGTCTGATCCTCATTAGGCAAGCTTATAATTTGAGGCTTGATTAAAAAAAATAAAAAGCCCAAGGTTTAGACCTTCTCCATATAGTCACTTTGAAAGAATATACAGTTATTCCACTACTGTGACAACTGCTGAGAACATTTTTTGAACACTACTTTTGGAATTGCCTTCAGAATCTCTGGCTCACTCTCTTGAATCTCTGTAGTGGTGGTAAATATTTGGCATTAGATTTAATTTTAGAAATAGCCCAAAGACTTTTGGAAATCAGTCTTACCCTAAACTTTAAAGCAACAATTGTTTATTAACATAGTTTTTGAGAGTCAGGAACCCAGAAGCAGCTTAGTTGGGCATGTCTGGCTCAGAGTCTCTAACAAAGTTACAGACAAGATGTTGACTTGGGCTGTGATGTCATCTGAAGGCTTGCCTGGGGCAGAAGGATTCACTTCCAAGGTTGCTCACATGCTTGTTGGCAGGCCTCAGATCATCATGGGCTGTTGGACTAAGGGCTTCAGTTTCTCATCATATGGGTCTTTTTCCACAGGGCTGTCTGAATGTCTTCAAACTTTGACATCTGGCTTCCCCCAAGAAAATGATGAGAGAGAGAGAGAGAGAGAGAGAGAGAGAGAGAGAGAGAGGAGAGAGAGAGAAGTGAGCAAGCAACAGAGCACCCATGACAGAGGCAAAGTCTTTTATGAGCTAATTCCGGGAGTGATAAACCATCATTTCTGCATATTTACTGATCACACAGACCACCCCTGGTTCAGTGTGGAAGGGGCATGCCCAAGAGTGTGAACAACCAGGAGGCCATCTCAGAGGTTGGCTACCACACTGGGGAAATGCCATTTGGGATGGGAAATATATGGATATAAATTAATGTGACTGATCCTTTTTATGTGTCTCAGAAGGTAATTCCAGAGCTGAATTCTTAAAACATCTTGGGCTTTGGGAGCATCACGGACACAGATGTGCAGCTCTCTTGGAGACGGCTTTGAACAAGACAATTTAGTTCAATGCAACAAATCCGTGTGACAAGCACTGGGCAGAGCCATAGAGACTGAAAGAAAAATAGACAGTCCATGCCCTCGAGGGCTTACACCTGTGAGGGAGACAGATCACAGGCAGTGGCGAGAAATAAGCACTGGGTTCGGCGGTAACACCATGCAGAACAGGGTGCAGGAGAGCTTGATAAGGAAGATGGAGTTGTCACGTTCTAGTGGCAGGATGGGTTCTGGTTATGCTGTCACAATCCTTCTCATTAACTTATTGTCATGTGGCCTGTGAATGACAGAGCCTATGCATTCCTTTTCTCTCTTTAGAGACCATGAGAAGGGTCTTTCCCTCTGGATATAGAAGGTATCCGAACCAGCGGCACAGAGCGGGAGTAAATACTGGCTTTGAGTAGCAGTCTTGAGGTAAGAGAACAAAGGTAAAAACGTGTATTTAGAAACAGAGACTGTTGGAGTGAATGCCTTCAAACTGCAACTCCCACACCTTCCAACGCTGTACTTCACTGTTTACCTCCCATCCTCGCCTTTCCACAGTCTCTTCCCCTTCCAGACACTGCTCCTCCTTCAGCTTTTCACTGTTGCTCCCTCAGGCTCTTTCCTGTGGCTTTTGTATTTGCTGCCACTGATGTGATCAAGTTGTTCCACTTTAAGAGCAAACAAACAAATAGCAAACTAGAGACCATTCCCTTCCTTTGACGCAGTGTCCCTTCCATCCCCCCTCTTTCTTTGCTAAGCTTCTTGCCATAGTGTCTATGGCTCCTGGTCGACCTCCTTGTCTCCCGTTCACTTTTCTGCTTTTTGCACACTGGATTCTAATCCTCCAAATCTGTGAAATCTGATCTGCCTTCCTTTTCTCCATTGGTAATTTAAACCCCGTGATCATTTGTATTATTTCTGTGACCCAATTCTTTCCTTCTAATGTAGATTACTCTGTCATCTCTTCCACTTGCCTGACTTTATCATTATTATGTAGTTATTTCCAACTCCGCATCTCTTGCCCTGCTCCATCTGGGATCCAGGCCCTGATATCAACTGCCCACTAGATGTAGTTGCTATGGAAACCCTGGGAGCAAATGAAACTCAACCAGCCTCCTCTCCAGCTCCCTTCCTCAAGTGAAGACACCACCGCCCACCTAATTTTCACAAGTTCACAATTTTAGAGCATCGTGGACTCTTCTTTAACCTCTGTCTTCTCCCAACATTGGCAAATTATTGCTTTCGTCCACACATTTTCTCTGGCATTGGCCCAGGTCCTGGTCCCATAATGTCTACCTTGCAGGTCCTCGGCTTTATCTGGAAATACAGAGGAATCTCTGGTCCTGCTCTACTTAAACCCCCTAATGTTTGCTTCACTTATGGGGTAAAGCAGAGGTATGCAAAAGTCAGACCCTGAGCCAAGAGGAGGTGTTGTGGGAGATGGAGACAGCCCTGGTTTTCCAAACCCACACTGAGTATCTAGTCTCATGAGTATATTAACTCTCAGTTACTAGGGATTGGAGCAAACACAGCTATGGATTTCCGAAGGCATTGGTAAAGGGACATCATGAAAGACACAAAGGAATGTTGGTATGCAATCATAGGTACTGATTCAGAGTGCATTCATTTTTACACACACACACACACACACACACACACACACACACACACACACACTAAAAATAAAGCTTGGGCTTCTGGGGCTTTAGATTTACATAGCACCATATGCCTCAGGATAAAGTCCGAACTCCCTACCATGGCCCACAAAGGCCTTGGTGTCCTGGCCCCGCCCACTTCTTTAGCCTCATCTCTCCCAAGTCCCCCGAGCCCCTAAGCTCTGGCAGTACTCAAATACTGGCAATTTCTCCTGCTGTGAGTGCCACCTGGAGCATCCACCTGGCTAATTCCTCCTCACCACTCAAGTCTCAGCTCAGTGGCCCCTCCCAAGTCAGAGCTACATCTCTTTAGGGCCTCCCTCAAGTCCTCATCCCAGACATGCAATTGCTTGTCTCCTTTCTGCCCGCTCTGTCCCACCAGACTCCCAGGCACAGAGCTCACTGGGCTTCCCTGCCATCGTCTCCCAGTGCCTGCACAGAGCAGAGCACACAGCAAGCATTCAGGAAGTGTTTGTTGAGTGAATGATGGAATTCTTCCCTTTGGACTCTTGAGATTCTTTTATTTAAAAAAAAAACACACCAGCTAAACATAGTATAATTAATTTGTCACCACTGGAATTTGAAAGAAGTCAACTGACTTTTTACTAAAATACAAGGAAAAATTTACCAGTGAGGTTATATTGGATGAAAGATGCAAATAGTAGGTTTTCTTTTTCATCTATGTGCCCCTGAATATAAAAACCAGCTTTAGCTGAGATCAAGAAACTACTCATTATAAAGAAACAGACTCATCATATTCCTTTTTTACAAACTTAAATCATTTCTTTTTGCATTGCAGAGCATCCTCGGGGTAAAAGATAGAGTTCTCAATGAACTGGCTGTATTTTATTATTAATGATATGCTTATATTGGCCATGCATACATATGTATTGCTATATAAATTCATGACCTGATTTCTATGAAAAAAATTGATCACTTCAAAACATCTTTTTTTATTTGATTTTTTTTTTCAGAGAGAGAGGAAGGAAAAGAGGGAGGGAGGGAGGGAGAACTATTTGTTGTTCCACTTGTTTATGCATTCATTGGTTGTTTCTTGTATGTGTCCTGACCAGGGATTGAACTACAACCTTGTCATATTTGGATGATGCTCTAATGAACTCAGTTACCCAACCAGAGCCAAAAAAACATTGCTTTAAAGACAGCACAGACAAAAGGCCAAAGGCTGCCACTCTGGCCTGGGCATTGACTTTGACTGAAGTCCTGGTCTGTCCCTGCCCTCCTGTGACCTTCCGCAGGGCAAGTGTTCACACGGGCTCTAAGTTTGCTGGTAAGGCTCCCACAGGGAGTCTAGTGAGGAGGCTGACGCACAGGGTCTGGAATCAGCAGGCCTGGCTCCCAGCCCCATCTGCCATTTAGGAGCTGGAACAGTGACCCAATCCCTTAACCTCTATGGCTCAGGTCCTTCAAAGATTTATAGTTGTTATAATTAACTGGACCATGAACTCCTTAGGGATGTCTTAGCTTGTTGTCCTTATTATCTTAGTTTAACAATAAGAAAATATAATTAATAGTACTATCTTAAATTAATAATGACAAAATCCTTCGTTTCATAATGCTAAAAAATGGTGTCTAGAATATAATACGGGTTCAATCAGGTTGGGAGGAAGGAAGGAAGGAAGGAAGGAAGGAAGGAAGGAAGGAAGGACTGCACAATTACATCAGGTTGGCTTTTCTAAATTGTGAAAGTCACATTTCCCGTGGGGAGCTTTCTGGTTTTCCCTTTTTTAAAATTGATTTCAGAGAGGAAGAGAGAGAAACATCAATGATGAGAGAGAATCATTGATTGGCTGCCCCCTGCATGCCCCCTACTGGGGATCTTGCCTGTAACCTGGGCACGTGCCCTTGACTGGAATCGAACCCAGGACTCTTCATTCCGCAGGCCAATGCTCTATCCACTGAGACAAACAAACTAGGGTTCCCGTGGGGAGCTTTCTGAAGGCGGAGATGTGGGCTCACACAGCACAGAAGCCTCAGAGCCTGGCTCAGTCTCTGGAACAAAATAGGAGCCGAGGAAGTGTTTTTGAACCATAACAAACACTGTTCTAAGATTCTCTCAGGTTGCTAGAAAACCATGTCATCTATCAGAGTGGCTAGTGGAAGGTATTATTTAAACCAAGAGCTCTGAAATGTTTTTGTATTTGCTGTTCTAAAATAGGAACTATGGCAAATCAGCCCCCTCACGTTGGCCGGGCTCTGTGTGAGGGTCTCACACTTTCTGGATTGTTATTGCTGGATTCACTCAGACATTTTCATTACGTTGGGGCTGGAAGACCACAAACCACACCGACTGCCCCCAAACCACAGCAGTGTGAGTGACACATCGATTGTCCATTGGTGTGGAATTCTTAAACTCCATGCCTCAGAACAGCAAGAGAGGCGATTCTTAGTGAGGCCTTTTGACAGTTGCTATAGGGTGGAAAGAATCAGTCTCATGGTTTTATCAATTTGTTCGACACATGTTCATCAAATGCCCGATTCATGCCCATCCCCTGCACCAGAGCATATCAGAACTGCCAAGCATGCTGGGGTCCGTGTTTGGACCCTGCATGTACGTGGCCTTATATGAATCTTGCAGCAGTCCCAGCAACTGCTGTCATCATTGTCTCCCTTCCATGGATGAGGAAGCTGAATCTCAAAGGCCCCTGCTCTCAAAGGCGGTGCTAGCATTGGGGAGTAGCTCTTGATGTCTGTCTGTCTCCAAAGCCCCTCTATTGCTCCCTGTGATGCTCTACCTCATGACAATATCTCCATGTTTAGAAAACAGCACAAGAGGACAAAACCTCAGGATTATTTGTCTAAAATACATTTGTCGTGTGCTGGGTGAAGCTAGACTACTAGTAGCCAACTAGAAGGCAAGGACTTTGATCGATTGGAAGTGTTGACAACATACCTACCTGCCATTAGCTACGTGGGGGTGGCCCTAAAACATGTGCCTCTTGGTTAGCTTGCTGAGTGGTTTCCATACCAAGTATCAACCCATTAGTGACTTCTTGTCTTGAGCTCCCATGACCACCCACCTACTGGGGAAGCCAAACACCCCTATCCCCTCATAAGATAGGAAAGACCCAGCCCGTGCTACGGAGGGAGGTGCAAACCTGGCTGCAGGTGACTCTATTTACTCACAATCTGAGATCCCCTCGCTGCGCACCTGCCGATGACTCCCCAGGTACAGTCCATTCTCCTTGCTATTCGCAGTAGTTCTGCTCTGTAAAGTCAGTGCAAACACCAAATCAATGGGTCCTGTGGGAAGTATAGGATTCGGTTCTTGCCAGCTTCCAGTCACATTCATTAACTGTGCTGTATTCTGCTTCTGTCTTCTCCACTAGGTTTGTGATGCTTCCTTCCCTTCCTTCCTTCCTTCCTTCCTTCCTTCCTTCCTTCCTTCCTTCCTTCCTCCTTCCTTCCTTCTTTCCTTCCCTTTCCTTCTTATTGGAGATCAGGGCTACTACACCTTACTGATCTTTGTAATCCCCCCAGGAGATACTCAATACATACATGTTTATTGAATGGATGAATGAATGAATGAATGACTCGATCCACACAGCCTCAGTTGACCACAGCTGAGGCCAGCCTGCTCCTTTACTGGCTTGACTGGTTCCTTCCCTTCCAGCCTCCCACCACCAGCTGTTCCTTAGGCCAGCCTGAGTCCCAGCATGTGGCTGCAGCCTTTCCTCAGGGCTCCTCTGGACCTACCATTTTTGAGACATGAGTGTCCTATCTGGGGCTGTGTCTCCCTTACCTGGACTCCAGTTCCTCCTCTTCTCCCTGCAGGTGTCCCTCACCCTTTCCTGTGAGGAGCTGGCTGCATTGCCATCTTAGGTTCCATGCTGAATGGCACCCAGGACTCCCAGGCGCCCAGGCGCCGTGCCTCCATCGTAAGAATGTGACATGCACAGCACAGGGTCTAATCCTCTCGCCCTTCTCTCTTTTAACAGAAAAATGCATTGGAAGGAAAAGTTCCAGTGAAGAAAGATGCTTCATGAATTGTGTAACTTTCCTTTTGGTTGGTTGCAGTCCTTAATAAATGTCTTACGTTTTCTCTTTCATTGCCTGATTTTCTTTTTAAAAAAATATATTTTATTGATTTTTTACAGAGAGGAAGGGAGAGGATAGAGAGTTAGAAACATCAATGAGAGAGAAACATCGATCAGCTGCCTCCTGCACACCCCCTACTGGGGATGTGCCCACAACCTAGTTACATGCCCTTGACCGGAATCGAACCCGAGACCCTTCAGTCCTCAGGCCAACGCTCTATCCACTGAGCCAAACCAGCTAGGGCTCATTGCCTGATTTTCTAAAAAAAAAATTAAAAAAATAGGAGTAACAATTACATTTTTAGATAAGGAGCTAATGCCATGAGATTCGTTTAGCCAAGGATTTTAGGAGCTGAGACGTATAAAGCAGCGTGTTTAGCATAGTTATGTCAAACACCTGTCTTAAATCATACAATGGTCATAATTCCTTATTCCTACTAAGACAGGCAGTCCCAGGCAGCTCAATGTCAAGGAGTGTCTTTCCTTTTGTGACTAATTTTAATTTAAAAAAAGAAAAAAGAAATCATCTGGTGATTAAGGGACAAGAGGCAATCTCCTCCCCCACCAAAATGCCGCCATTGCTTCTTTTCCTTCAGATTTCTTAGGCCACAGAGTCAATAGCAAAGCCGGCTTTCTGTCAAAGCAGGTGTTGCCAGAAAAGAACTGAGGACTGTGTCCCTGAGACACTTACTTAGAAATCTGTCCCAGTTAGGTGCCCCAGTTTGGAGCCAGGCATTTCTGCGGCCAGTCTGCTGTGGGAATGACAGTAGTGAGAGGTCTGGAAGATTCAAGAATCCCCAAGTGGAATGCAGTCCCTCGCCAGCGAGACTGAAACCCACACCTGTTTCCACGGCTTTCCGTGAAGATGTCAGGAGGTCCTGAGGACTATTTTCAGGACCGATGATACACTAAGTCATTATCAGGCATTTGCACCTTGATTTAGATGGGGCTGTCTATTCCCGCACTGTAGCAAACTGCTCTACTTACTGCAGCTTCTAAGTGTTGGACACCCCCCACCCATCTTCTATGTTTTTTCAGAACTTTCCTGGATATTTCCATACGCTTTGTAAAATTCCAACTTTAAGATCAGCCTGTCAAGTGATGAACAAAAATCCTGTTGATATTTTAAATCAATTTAATCATTAAATTTTAATGACATCAAATTTGTAGATTAAATTAGAGAACAGATTTGAGTTTTGCTTTATAAGAATAAGGTATACATTTCCATTTACTGAAATCTTCTTTTTGTCCCTTAGTAGAGTTTAAGAGTGTGTGTGTGTGTGTGTGTGTGTGTGTGTGTGTGTGTTCATTTGGCACATTTCTTTTATAATTTATTCATTGGTATTATTCTTTTTGTTGTTATTATAAATGAGATTTTTTTTTGGTCATTATATCTTATGATATAAAACTGACTAATCTATATTAGGTTTTTGGCCTAAAATCTCATATTATTTTTAATAGGTCCTCAGTTGATACTCTAGAGCAGTGGTTCTCAACCTGTGGGTTGCGACCCCTTTGGCGGTTGAACGACCCTTTCACAGGGGTCGCCTAAGACCATCCTGCATATCAGATATTTACATTACGATTCATAACAGTAGCAACATTACAGTTAGGAAGTAGCAACGAAAATAATTTTATGGTTGGGGTCACAACATGAGGAGCTGTATTTAAAGGGCCAGAAGGTTGAGAACCACTGCAGTATTCCATGTATACACTGCAACTTCTGCAAGTGATATTAATATTGTCTCCTCTTCATTTTTTGAATGTCAGTGTCTCTTTTTTTATTTTCTTTTAATATATTCCCACAGGGTTAGAGGACATCCTGGTTTTGCTTCTCACTTAGACAGGATTCTAAGAAGCATTTTAACATCTCACCAGTAAGCACGATTGGCTTCTGGTTTGGTGTCTAAATTTTTAATCATATTAAGGTTTTATTTGTCATTTCATTGTTAAGTGTATATTGAACTTTATCAAAATATCTTTTGAAATTTGTCTGTTTTTAATTTTTTACATTTGTCTTCTTTGATAAAAAATATGGTGACATATGTTAATCTGTTGCCTATATTGAACCACCTTTGCATTTCTGGAACATCCCCCTTTCTGGGTCATGGTTTGCTATTCTTTAAATGGGCTGCCACTAGTTATCACTGCTTCGTGTAGGCTGTTGATACCAACCTTCCTGAGTGAGCATGATCTACTGTTGATTTGTGTGCTGTCTTTGTCTGATCTGGGTATCAATGTTGTGAAACCCAAGATATCTTGCATCTCCATAGCATCTCCCCTGCCCACCAACTCCCAATGCTGGGCCGCGTATCTGG